TCGGTGAGGACATTTGCAGAACCTTCGAGCTGGGTTTTCACTCGTCATTGATGTGAACACATCAGCTGCGTCGCCATAGTCACATAGTCTAACCTCAAATGGATTACTAGAGGGTTGACTATATCAGTTGCTTGAACTCGTGTGAGAAGTATTCGACATCTGTCTTGGCTGAAAATGTGAAAATTAATAACTTATGACTCATTTCAATCAAGATACCGGGAAGAATAAAACAAAGTGTGTTAAAATATAGGGTAAAATACTTTTTCCCATTCGAACTATCACGGGTTTGGCGCATCACCATATAAACTATTGTTTTTAACAAACCACCATATAAACTATACGAGTTTGTCAATTTTCCCCCTAAACTGGATATAAAAGTGGTTTAGGGGGCACATTGACAAACCCGTGATAGTTCATATGGTGGTTTGTAAAAGTATTTAGGGGGCACATATGGTGACCAAACAACTTTTTCAGTCAAAACCACTTTTATATCCGGTTTAGGGAGCATATTGACAAACCTGTATAGTTCATATGGTGGTTTGTAAAAAAAAATAGTTTATATGGTGATGCGCCAAAACCGTGATGGTTCGAATGAGAAAAAGTATTTTACCCTAAAATATAAAACAATTTCAGTTAGAAGCAAATTGAAATGTGCAATTGCATTTCAATAACAGATATATTTTTTAGTCAAGTTAATCATAATAATTTCATTCCTGTTAAATTTCTGAAATCTAAGAAACATATTCGTGAGGATAATTCCAATTTGCAACAGATGCAGCTTTTTCAGTGTACATACAAGAAGGCTGATAACCAAAACAAAGCAAGATCTGTCCATATCCATATCTTCCTTCAGAACACATCACAATAGGGATTTGATGAAATACATGAATAATGACAACAACTGAAGACAATCTCATAATTATATCCTAATGACAGCAACTGATGACACACATAACTGATGAAATACATGAAATACAAGTTAAATGACAGCGACTGATGAAATACATAACTGAAGACAATCTCATATTATAACTACACAACAAATAATAAATTCATGTCAGAGATTAAGCATGAGGACAATCTCTTCCACATGGATGTAAATACAACTGAAATTAATTCAAACAGGTTAAGGGCAGAACATATGGTTCGAAAATTGCAGCCATTTCAGTACAAATTGCCATGCTTCAAAATTTTAGAGGGCTCGAAAATGCAGTCGATACGTACGCTTAAGGGCAGAACACAGGGTTCGAAAATGCAACTTGTTTTGTAATTTGGGGATTTGAAAATTCCTATTATCGGCCAGACCTAGGGTTTCGAAAAGCAACAAGATGATGAAAATCGAACTACTCCGACTCAGAGATTGAAAAAAATAGGAAATTCCGACTTAACAATCTCAAATTTATCACAGATAAATAAATAATTTGAGGAAATGAGAGGAAAATGAAACCCGTCAATCTTCAACAATCGCAGAAAATAAACAATTCCGATGTCCAAAAACAGAGAGAACAAACAATTTCTTACCTTTCTTCGCGAATCCGGTATGTTCTTCGCACGGTCTTCACTCCGTCGTTCTTCAACAATCACACACGGACCTTTGAAGATGGAGATGGATGAAAAAAGGTTATGAAGAATGGAAAAGTTTGATATCAGTTTTGATAAATAGACATGAGGGCAAATTTGTCTTTGGATTGTGTAACCTGTCAATTAATCCATCGAAGTAAATATGTGATTCAATTATGCAAATCCCATTCCACAATGTAAACAAGGGACTGATTGCTGATATATAAAGTTAAGTTGAATAACTTATATTATCCCATCCTACTAAGTAAATGACCCCTTAGTATAAAACTAGTTAAAAACCTAGTTAAATTAGATTCTAGTTTATAAACAATCCTGCCCTAGTTGATTTAAACCTATGTAATTCCTATAAGGAATTTTTGGGATTTTACCCAACTCATTTCCACGCAGTCAAACCCTTATTCACGCGTCTCATCCCAAATCTTCATCTTGTTTCTCCCAAAGATTCTCGAGTAGAGCATAGAAATTCCTTCTCAACTTTCTTCTTCGCGTGCGTCCTTCGCCATCAATCACCATCGCTGAGATAGCTCGTCTCTCTGTCCGCTCGAGAAATGATGAAGCAACAGCCGAGAGGCCCGAGACCAAAAATCCTTCGCTCCAAAATTTCAGATTTTCAATCGCCGATTAATCCAGCCCTCCTCGTCAAATCGCGAGTCGTCAATCCTGCCGGAGAAGAGAACAGCGGCCATCGCTCACCAATGTTACCAAACCTGTCCGCCGGATGTAGCCTTCGACGGCAAGCCCTGTTGGTCGTAACGAGATCCCCTCCGTCGGTATTGGAGAAGAGTGGCGAGAAGCAGCAGACGACTTTCTGCGCACGAGAGGAAGCCGAGTTCTTCTGTGGGCACCGGCCTTGCCGTCGCGAGCAGGCAGCTTTTCAGCCATGGAGGTCGGACCGTTCACGGCATCAGCAGCCATCTCAGCCGGCACCTTTTCAGCGGTGGTGGCCGGGCAGCGGCTGTTCGCCGGGCCAGCACCTCGAATAACCACCCAAACAACAGCGGCACCCCCGTCGGCCTTTGTTTTGGCGCCCGAGCAACAGCGGCAGCCCTTTCGGGGCCGTGGGAGAATAGTGGCAGCCGTTCGAGGCTATTATCTTGTATAGCAGGAAGGAAAGGTTTAAGATCATGCATGAGAGTCAAGTCAATGCACATATGCTTACTTGCACCAGCCTGCCGAGTTGACAAAGTGAACATAATCAGACTCATTCACCTTTGAGCCAAAGAACTTTAACAACTCCTGCTGTATCACTGAAGACAAATCAGATGGTGCTGCTGAATTCTGAGAGCTACTTTCAGAAGTAGATGATTGAACTTCATTCTTCTCAATAGCAACATTAGCATATCCTTTTGGCCTTTGTTGATCCTTAAACTTATGGTACCAATGAGGTACACAATGTAGCTTAAAGCATTCCCGCATTTCATGTCCAGTTGCATTGCAATACTCACATATCAATCTAGCTTTCTCCTCCTTAGTTCTCCTCTGACCATCTCTACCTCTACTCATCCCCTTATTTACCATAAACTTTCCTCCTCTTGCCATGTCGCCACGCTTTCAAACTGATTTTGATACATCAGACTAGTTGTTTTCTGCTGTTCCACTCTTACCAACATGGAGTATGCCTTATCAACCTCAGGCAAAGGTTCCATCAACAGTATTTGAGATCTCACTGGCTCGTAAACATCATGTAGACCCATGAGAAATTGCAGTAGCTTAGTCTGGTTCTCATTTTCAATTACATTCTTACCAACTGGACAATTACAAATGGTAGGACTTCTCAAGCTATAAACACAATTAGTGCTCTTGCTTCAGCTATGGGTCAGCTGGATGAGAAGGCGAGAAAGGTTTGCTTTCGTATCTATCATTTCTATATGCTCTATTAAAGGTTTGCAAACTAATTTTTATATTTTCGTGCAGGGCATCTCGTCAGATATCTTGAAATGCGTTGGTGAAGACAAAAAGTACATGCGAGAGTGCATTTTAAATGCCGTAGTGTCTTGGCTTGCTGACATTCATCCTGATAGAATGGAGCAAATTCAAGATCTCGAGGTTTCTGGTTATTGAACATTTTTTGTTTTGTTTTTGTCGTGATTTATCTGTATTTGTGGTTAAATATTGTGAGTAATGGGACTCATGGTTAAATATTGTTAGTAATGGGACTCATACTATACAAAATTTAGATGTAGTTTGCAGTTTCTAGAGTTTCTAGTAAAAGTTGGACAAAAGGTATTTCAGATTCGTTATCTAGATAAGGTGCTTAAAAAACCATTTCGTGTGATGATGGGAAAGCTCTTTATCTTGTGATGTTATAAATATTTTTTTGTACTTCTTGGACAGAATGATGTCATGAGATACTTTGGAGAGGATTTGCATGGAAGTCTGTTAAGTGCAGACTTAAAGAATCACGGTCAGAAGGTTTTTTAAATATACACTAAAGTTCTATTTCATGGCATCTGATTTGCACACTTCAACCTTGCATTTTTGGCATTTCAGGCTCTTCCATCCATGGGAAGGGAAATTGTCGAAGTATTGGATATACTATTCAGGTGGATTGCTTTGAGGTTTTGCGAGTCCAATACATCTTGCTTATTAAAGGTTTGTCAATTAATGCTGTCAGTGTCGGTGTATCTATCTGGAGTCAAATTAATTTTTTATCTGGAGTCAAATTAATTTTTGCTTTCAATGCACTGTAACCATTGGTATATGGCATCGCAAAGATAACTATTTGTATTTCTGAACATATTAGATAATTTTTTGCTTCGGTATGAGAAGTAAAATGACGAAATATTCATAAATACTAAATCTAATGTTTTATTCCTATACTAATATGATACTCGTGTACTACACGAGTAGTTAAATATATTAATATTTGTACAATAAAAAATTAATTTTTTTTATATTTTTATTCTGAAATGATGTATAATGAATATACAATAATAATAAAAAACTAACAAAGTGATTATTAATTCAATACGGCGCCCGTATTTTTACACTAAATTTGTCATAAATGATATTTTTTAATTATATTTTTAAAATTCTATGTCAAAAATATATATTATTTACAACTCATAAATTTGATTTGAATTTTTTTAAAATAAAGTTTTATTGTATTGTGATTGTATTTTAAACTTATAGAGTCGGTGTCCCTCGTTTACTAATTTTTCAAGTTTTTTAAATTTACAACAATTTAATAATTTAGAATATTAATTTACGTATAAATCTATTATTTTATAAATTTATGAGACGTAAAATTATTTTAATATATTTATTATGATATCCTTTATGTTTATTATTTTAAAAAACATAATATCATTTAGTGCATGATTTGGTAAATGGGAATGGACCATGAATGGAATGATTATTCCTTATATGATTCTCATTCCTATACTTGGTATCTTTTGATGTTAAGGAATGACCATTACTATAGAATCACTATTTCTATCATTATGGGAATATTCATTCCTCCAATAACCCATGGTTTTAGCCATTCCAAATCCATTGGGAATGAATTTATTAATTTACTTTTAACAAAATTATCCAAAATTACTACATTAGATAAATATATATACTATAAATCACGATTAAATTATATTAAATAAAATTATTTTATAAATAAATTTCAAATATAAATTTTAAAACTTATTTTATTTGTATTTATTAATATGGGATTATAGATATGGAATTATTTATATACATATAAATAGAAAGCCAGTCATAGAAGAAGTTCATGTGCTTTGTTTGAAGAAAAAATAATATACATATAAATAATTCAAAAGATATTATTTTATTTTTATACATCCTATATATATTATATATTTATTAATAAATTAAACTATAAAAATATAAAAAATTATATTCCACCACATATGCTTATATGGGATTATATAATGATATATTTGTATTATTTAATATGTATATGAATATATTAAGAGATAACTATAAAGAAATGCTCCCCTACCCACGGTGGACACATGTTAATATGCCCACTGCGTAGGTGGCATCCACTCATTGGTGATGTTAATATGATTAAAAAAATACATCACCAATGAATGCATGCCACCTACGCAGTGGACATATTAACATGTGCCCACCGTGGGTAGGTGAGCATTTCTCGATAACTATATTAGTTAATATTGTTATCTCTACGATGCCATATATTTGTATTAGTTAATATGTATATGAATTCGGAAAAAAAATATGTATATGAATAGCTCGAATAGTGTGTAGCTCGGTGGGTAAGAATTTCGGGCTCGATATAGCATAACAAAGACATCATATAGTAGGGAGCAGACCTATGGAGGCATCTTGTGGCTAATGGCTGACCAATAAATAAGAACATGTTGTGTATGAGGGACACGTGTAGGTCAGGATAAAAAAGGAATAAATGATCTATGAGAACAAATTGTGTTCAGGAAGCTAATAACTCTCTATAAATAGATAAAATTAGGGGAAAAGTAAGGCTAATTACACTCTATACTCTACTAGTATGATCCCATCCAGTGCATGGGGAAGAGATATTCATTAATATTTATAAATTAAAAATTCTTATTAAGTAATATTTATGAATTAAAAATATGGAATCAATATGTCATACAATTACCTATACTAATTTATTGAAAATGTTATATAAAATTTAAATTGTACAAAATTACATAAAAATGTATTTAAAATTAGTACCCAGCCCGTGTGGTGCGCATAACTAATAATAAATTACATTATATTCATTTTATAATAAGTATCATTTCAAAATTTTTATTAAGAAATTCAATTTGAATATAATGTTAGGCCATAAAATAGTTATTTAGGTAAAATGTTATCATATATTTAACAACCTAACCTATGTGAATGATAAGTATAGATATAAAATTTATATTGTTTCATTACTTAAAAATAATTTATTTTTGTATAAACTATTCAAATAAAAAAATTAAGTAGTTGAGTAATTTATTAAATTATAAATAATTGACTATTTTGTTTACGTCCAAGTTAATATGACCCGTAAGTTATTGAGTAATTTATTAAATTAAACTATATAAATAATTGACTATTTCGTTTACGTCCAAGTATTGACCCATAAATTATGAATAATTATTTATTTATTTTTAATTTTAAATAATTTTTTTTTTATTTATTTAAATATATTGTATACCAAATTTAAACCATGCAACTAATAATGGTAACAACTGCAAGTTTTGTCAATATATTATGTTCCAAATTTAAAGCATGCAACTAATAAATGTAATAGCCGCAATAGTTGACCAAAATGATTTTGTACATTAATTCAGATGGAATTTTTCAAATTTTGACAAAAATATTACTCAATGTAGTAAATACTTTGTGGGAATCATTTTTTTTGCTGTTTTTTAGTAGTTATTTAAAGTAAATACTATTGCTTCTTAATATATTAATAGATAGATTTTGAATATTGAATGAATTGTCATGAGTCACAAACAAATGTTTGTTGAGAACAATCGAAATCTTATTTATTTCAAGAGAATATTGCTTTATTAAAATAAAAAAAATAAATGAGCGAATTCATGTGAACAATGGAAGTCAATCGACATTAGTAAATATTTGATATTCATTCCAATTTTACAATAGATATATTAGAAAATTATGGTGAAATTGATTACAAATGACATATGGTACGTCTGTATTTGATGCACGATTTTATTTCCAAATTTTTAAAAAACTTAAGCAAAGAGTCCATGTGTATTTGATATTCTTTCTAAAATTTTAAGATTATTATTTAGTTAGAAAAATATGGTCAAAATAATAGCATCAGATATTTCCCCAATTTTTAGAATGATTTTATTTTTAAACTTTTGAAAAATTCAAATAGATTTTGAAATGGAAGGATATTTTGAATTTTTTATTTTTTTTAAAAAAAATTACTATAATGAGTAATTTTGAAATTTTAGGCTGGAAACCAAATGATTTTTAGATGATTTTTAGTTACTATTTCAAGTAAATATCATTGCATCTTTATATATTAATTAATAGATACTCTAAAGCTATTAATACAATTCTATAAGTTGCATGTTAACTTCTTTTAACATTTATGTACTTTCAAAACTAACATTGAAAAGATGTGCTTTTACTTCTTGGGCGATAAATGGAATGTTTCTTGATTTGGCTTATTCCGCGTCTTTCTTTTATCTTTTCTTTTATTTTTTCAATCTCTAGGTCCTTCATCAAATTGTTTGTCAAATAATCATGTCTTGATTTGTGTTTTCTTGACTACCTCAAGTTTAATATAGCGACACTGACTATTCTCGTGGATGTTTTAAAGATTAATTACATTTTCCAATTAAGTATGTGTGACATACATGCCGATTACATCTCATATATGTTTAAGTTGTTTGTATTTACAGTTTATTCTTTGTTATAGGTTGATCCAAGTACAATTCTTGGTCCCTCCCATGGGACGACTATAGTTTGGATACGATCTTCTCCCACTGAGCTACTACTTGTAGCAGTAGATTCCCGTGGGACGCGAAAAGATAGAGGTAAATTTAAAATTAAGAGTATTTGTGTTTAATTTGTCTAATTTGAGAATAACTTGTTTTTTTCTAATTTGAAAATAACAATTTTTTTTTTAATTTTTGTAGAGTTAAAATTCAGTTAAAAAAGCAGTTGAGTTAAAAATGATTGGATTTTTTGGACAAATTTGTATCAAAGCATCCTATATGTGTTTTGATCGTGCACAATAGCGAAGTTGTTGTTGTATTTTTGCATAAGAATGGTGTATTCTATGATAAACAATAATAAATGTATTGAATAACAAAAATGTAATATTTAATATTAAATAAATATTGGGTTGAAAATCTAAAATAAAATTCTTATTTTTTTGTGAAATTTTTAATGTTAAAGAAATCTATTATGTCAACTACTTTGTTATTTAATGATTAATGATATCCTCATGCTTTAGTGGTTATTATTATTGTCATTCATAATTTAGTTTTTTTGATGTCTTCCTTTTGCGTCTTTAAAAAATGACTCGAATTTGCTATAACTATCATTTGTGTTGATCATTTTTTTTTATTGTTGATCGGAGGCTACTCAACTATGCTTGAATATTTGGTTGCAAATTCAATTATATTAAAGAGTATTATTTCATAATACTTAGATTTATATTTTCTCTCTTAATATAATAACATAAGAGATAAATAAAAATTTCAAAATGTCTTTAAAATCGTAATTATTCCAAAAAGAAAATTTATTCAAAAATTATTAGGAACAATAACATCCTTGATTGATTAAAGATGCCCATCTATCTATATTTTTTTTTCTAACATTGGTTGAAGGAACTCATCTATATATTGTCCAACATAAATTATTGTTTCATCTTCTAACATTGCAATCAACACATTATTATTTGCGTTCACGAATTTTCAAGACTATCCTAAATTTGAAAAAATAAATGATTCAAGTAATGAATTATTTTCTCTACTTTTGAGAATTGATGTGAAACATTTAATTTATGAATGATTCTATAGAAAGATTGGCTGATGACAATAAGTTTAAAGTAAATATACTTTATTTATTTGATTTTAACCGTAACCATTTTATAATAAATACTAGTATTTTGAAATTTAAGATTTAAAATCGAGTTTTAATTATTTTATTTTATTTTTTGATTACTCTATTTTTATTTATATTACAATTTAAGTAAATGCTAGATTAATTTATATAACACATATTATCATAAAGAACATTTATACTATACATACTATTAACATGTAGCATATTGTTTTACTGAATGATTTAAATAAAATATTTATATTAAGATTTTATATTTTTCACCTAACGACATTTTAAATGTTGAAGAATCATATGAAATAAATATTACTTATTTCAATAATCTTAAGATAATATTTTCTTTAACACTAAAAACTACCTTTAAAATATGTGTGAAACCTAACATCATATGTACATTAATTCTAAATAATATAATCAAGTATAAATTATTTATTTAACATCTATAACTTCACGTAGATAATCTTATTATATGTGTAAAAACTTAAATATATAATCAAGTATAAAAAGTAAAAGATAATAAATATAAAAAGTAAGTAAAGAAATGGAGGTTTAAAAACTTAACAGATAATGTTAGATAATGTTAGTTTTAACTTTTGAGAGAATTACATTAAGGGCATTCTTGACAATTTAATAGTTTCAAGAAACTACTCTGAGTTATAGATATTAATTATTTTTTCTCCTTTTCATTTTAAATTAAAATCTGCTACTTCTAAAATTTTATTTTGCTCTAGCGCTACGATGTTATTATGGTTCGAGATGATTTTCATAATCCATTGACGGTGGATCAAGAAATTTTTACCTGCAGGAGTGGGGCCTCTTATGCACGTTCCTCCTGGTAAGCGTATATTTCTCGAAAAGGCTGATATTTGACAAATAAATATCTTTAAACTCTCACACTTTATCCCTCTCACATTCTCTCTTCACTCACATTATCCCTCTACATACTGCATATGAACCTCATTTGGGATCTGAAAACATAAGTTGGTGTATCGTTATAGTTGACCATATAACTACCCCAATTTTGCTATGAAGTCATCGGATGACTCGACTTATGGAGCTATCCACAGATATTTACAAATCGTGTATTGACACGTGTCCTACAATAAATACACTTTAGACACATGTCAATACATTAAGTGATTGATGACTCCATAAGAAAACCATCCAATGGGTCCATAAAATTTTTGATAACTACCATATCTTAAGAAAAGCAGTAAGTCTATAACAATCTAATGCATAGTTGACAATACATTAAAATTGTAATTTCTTTTGTACACTCTCCTAGGTTCACTAGAATCTGAATCTTCCATAGCTGCTTGATGGGAGAAATAATTTTTGAATCCTATGGAGTACATACACACAACAAATTAATAGCTGACATGAAAATTGAGAGAGACCCTGAGCAAAACCAGCTACATCTCTTTTACTACTGTGTATTCTACCTTTTTGTTATGTGGATGAAGAGATGTGCATGCAACACCTGAAGGCATTGTTACTACTCATTTCCTACACCATTTTATCCTCATTTTGATTTCAGTCTCAAGCTAGTGCTCTTGATTTCTCTTTTGTTTTCAATGTACTGAGTGTTCATTTGTTGTCGTGGGGTGTGCTTGTTTATGTTGATGGCAGCATTGTAATGTGTAACTCAGTGATTGTTATTTGACATCTGATTGTCCCTATGAAAGCCGGCTTGAGTAGTTGCAAATTTTTTCCCCTCTCCAACTTGATGTCCTAACCTCCATGTTATCCTCCATCCCCTTATTCTTCACTGTCTAAGCAATCTCCAACGCTGATTGGGGGTCTAATCAATAAAACTATCGGTTGATGACTTGCTTTTTATTTTCCTCGTAGTTCTCTAAGAACTCAAGCGTCTTTGAATCCTCCACTGAGGCAGCCTGGCTGCAGCTGCTTCTGAAATAATTTGACTCACTTTCTACCAATGGATTTGTACATTACTCATCCTTCCCCTATTCTATAGGTAGATAACAGTTTTTTGATGCTCTGTCCCATATCCAGTTTATAATCGGCCCCAAAATACTTTGACCTTAACTACCACTTTATTCGGGAATAAGTTCTGCCCGAAGTAATTTCTCAACATATCCTTAGCAATTTCCACTCTAATTTGGTTTATATAACATATAATATAATAGGGAAATAACAAGAAGTTATAAAACTGCTATAGCAAGAATTAGTTGCCTAGAATACCTCCGCAGCTATTTGTGTAGCTTTCTCCTCCATCTATCTATCTTGTTGTAAATATAAATTGTAATAAAATATAAAAAGGCGACACATTAAATACCATTTAAAGGAATACAAGTCAAAATTCCTAAAGTACAACACCAAATAATATCTTAAATTACAAACATATGATATTCTGAAATATAGATGCATTCTTGCTTGATCTTTATGATTTTACATGTAGTTTTTATTTTCTTCAACTTTATCGGCACGCAGTTACTTTAGGTACACCGATTGATGTGAATTCTCTCGTATTTAATATTATGAAAACGACACTCAGTGATCCTTTCAGGAGGGGACATAAGAGGTAGTCTCTTGCTATTAGTAAAATCCTTTAGTTCTTTTTTTAACTTAGTTATTTTAATTAACTGGACTAAGAAGTTATATTAACAGGTGTCTTTTTAATATTTTTCTTGGAAATTAATGTTATGCTAGTGAATTATGAATTCTTCTTACGTGTATGAAACAAGCAACATGAAAATATGAAAATGTAGTAAGTTGTAAACTATTTGAAAATTTAAGGTCTTGTAATCAAAATATAACCACATTTTCTAATCAATTATTTAGTTCGTCTTTCCAAAAAAAAGAGAGAGTTGTGTTTTTTGGTCTACTATTATTAATTTTGTGGAAAGACAAACTAAATAATTGATTAGAAAATGTGGTTATATTTTGATTACAAGATCTTAGATTTTCAAATAGTTTACACAACTTATTACATTTTCATGTTGCTTGTTTCATACACGTAAGAAGAATTCATAATTCACATGTAGCATAACATTAATTTCCAAGAAAAAAAATATTAAAAAGGCACGTGTTAATGTAATTTTTTAGTCCAGTTAATTAAAATAACTAAGTTACAAAAAGAACTAAAGGATTTTACTAATAGCAAGAGACTACCTTTTATGTCCCCTCCTGTGTAGGGATCACTTAGTGTCGTCTTCATCATATTGAATATGAGAGAATCCACATCGGTGTACGTAAAGTAACTGCGTGCCTGTAAAGTTGAAGAAAATAAAAACTACATGATAAAGATCAAACAAGAATGCATCTATATTTCAGAATATCATATGTTTGTACAAGATATTATTTGGTGCTTTACTTTAGGAATTTTGACTCGTATTCCTTTAAATGGTATTAATTTGTCGCCTTTTTATATTTTATTACAATTTATATTTGCAACAAGATAGGGTTGTGCATAGATGGAGGAGAAAGCTACACAAATAGCTGTGGAGGTATTTTAGGCAACTAATTCTTGCAATAGCAGTTTTATAATATAAACTAAATTAGAGTGGAAATTGCTAAGGATATGTTGAGAAGTTACTTCGGCCAGAACTTATTCCCGAATAAAGTGGTAGTCAAGGTCAAAGTATTTTGGGGCCGATTATAGATTATAGATTGGATATGGGACAGAGCATCAAACAAATTGTTAGCTACCTATAGAATAGGGGAAAAATGAGTAATGTGCAAATCCATTGGTAGAAGGGTGGGTTAAATTATTTCAGAGGCAGCTGCAGCAAGCCTCAGTGGAGGATTCAAAGACGCTTGAGTTCTTAGAGAACTACGAGAAAAATAAAAAAACAAGTCATCAACAGTTAGTTTTATTGATTAGACCCCCTATCAGCGTTGGAGAATGTTCAGACAGTAAAGGAGAAGGGGATGAGGGATAACATGGATGTTACAATATCAAGTTGGAGATGGGAAAAATTTGCAACTACTCACGCGGCTTTCA